TGTACGTACACACGCACGCACGCACGCACGCACGCACACACAAACGTGTACCTGCACACGCGCGCACACGTACATGCACGCACGCACGCACGCACGTGTACGTGCACACACACATCCGTTAGTCTGTGGGTGAACTAGGGTGAACGGTGAACTAGAGTCCCTTTATATTGAGGGACTCCCAATATAAAGGCACTCTACCAGAAGTGATTTGTATGCTCTGACTCTGTCTTTATGTAGGTAGTCTAATAAGGTGCACAGAGCCAACTAGAGTCCCTATATACAGATATATATATACACTGTATATTCATTATTCATACACATATATTCTGTATATATAGGGACTCTAGTATATATAGGGACTCTAGAGTCTAGAGCCAACAGAGCGAGAGTGCCATCTGTCGTGACAAACGAAAAATAAACAAATTATATTATTTGCACAATGATTATGATCAATAATTTATGGCTATCAATAAACTGTATTTTATTTATTAACATTACGTAATTTCTCAAGCTACTGTAATTTTATAGATATCTGTGAGTGTAAATTTTTACATTTGTTATCAGTTGGTTGATCCAGCAGAACATCCGCCGATCATATCCGTTGCATTATGGCGGCACAAACAAAGGTTACAGAGTTTTATAGAAGTCGGAAAACATTTTGTGATAGACAGCCATCGAAGCGCCAAAAAGTTATTCATCTGAATGCACAAACGCATGAAGGTCCTGCGGAGACCAAGTTTCCACCAGCACGAAGGAAGCATAACGTGAAGATTATTACTGATGTTCCAACTTCATTTGAATTTGCTACTGCATCAGAATCAGAAGCGACGAATGATAGGCCTAGCGATCTCTCACAAAAACCGACGTCGCTAACTGCAAGGGCGACGTGTGTTACTGCAAAAAAGCAAGCAAAGAAACCACATGATGTGTTTCTATCCGGCCGAGCTCGGAAGTCAGCTAAGTCCACCAAAGTCGTCGGAAGCAAACCTCACGGCAGTGTTGATATCGACGAACAACACAACAAAACTCGAAACTCGTCCCCACAATTAGCAGAGCTAGTTACGGATGCGACAGATGATCACGAAACATCAAGAACGCCAGTGAAGTCGCCACAAAAGAGGATGGTCAAGGCATGCCCTGATCACTCGTCAAAAAAGAGAAGCAAACCCGAAACAGACGTGCAACCTCGTTCGATATTGGCAGTTGATCCATCGCCATCGAGGTTACGAAGCCGCAACAGGCGTGGAGGGTCTCCTAAAACGAAGCTATTTACAAAAACAGAGGACACTCTCCCTAATACGGTCATTACCGAAAAATCCAGCTCAATGGGAAATAGTGAGGAAGTACAGGCTGTTCCATTGGCACTTTCTTGTGAGCATGTACGTCATGTCGCTATTTATTGGCAGTAATCATGGTTCACATGGGCGGTAGAATTACAATTTATTATTGCAGTTTTCCATCTCCAGAATTCTGTTTTCCTTTAATATTGAAATCCACAGTGACATATTACCCAAGAACTGGAAGTGGTGTATTACCGGTATCTTCTGTAAACTTCTGAGTGGAAACTAGTTTTTTCCCTCATTCATACAGTTAGTTGACAGTTCAATAATGTATCAACACCATACCATTCGCTAATTGCCACACTGTTCAACATTTCTTTGTAAAACTTACTTGGATTGGCAGTGTTAGAGATTAACTTTTATGCCAGGCACCATGTACTTGCTGCAAGAGAAAAAAGCTGGCAGCATACTTGCTCATACAGGCAGTAAATTAGGAAATAATAGCAGTTACACTCCCACCCAACCACCAGTACTTCCTTGATGTCTCTGTCGATAAGGAAGCTAGTTTGGCCTCCTAGCCATGTTTTCCCTAATTCGTTTCTTCTTAATACTCGCCCAATAACTAGCCATCCACAGAAATTTCCTTTAACTGTGGTGCTTTTAATTTGGTTTATTGGGAATGCTGCCAACATATAGAAGAGGCAGAATACTGATACTTGTAGGCAGCAAAACAGCTGCTTGCTGCACTTAATTTAAATCTATGGGTTGGACTTACATTTTTTTAAATATTTTTTTCAGGATAATGAGTCTATGGTAAAGGCAGGTAAAGAACCACAATTAGTCACACAGGAAAAGAAGAAAAACACTAATGCTCTGCAAGCAACTGTAAGTAGTAATGAGAAATGGTGGTTATTATGACCTGTATATTATAAAGTCAGCTAAAAGAATATTGGTGTTTCCCATTTACCTGGAGTGCAAGTAATTAATTAAAGAAGAGAAGGACACTTGGGTAAAGCATGTCAGAATATTTGTGACATGTATTTATATGTTCATACATACAGTATTCTGCACGTTTTATTCAACCTGAACACCAGCCTGTATATATATTCCGGAGTATTTCTGTGATTATTTAATACATGTATTGGCACTGCCTCTATATAATAATACATTTTTGTACAATGTTTCTACACTCAGAGTAAGGAAGACCCAGCTGAAAAGTCGGTGTTAAAGCTGAAAAAATGCAACAAGTTGTCTGACTTACAAGCACAGTTAGCTAGCTTTAAATCAAATGTGAGCAAGTTAAAGAAATCTGCAAGCAACCTGCAGAAGTCAACAACATCTAAGGAAAAGACTGGGGAACCAAATGTTGTCAAACCCAATGAAAGGTATTATTGTATCCCCCGCGACGAAGTTGGCGGGGATACTATCGTTTCATGTCTGTTCAGCCGCCGCCGCCACGGACACTTTCCCTTCTGCTCTATAACTCGGCCCCTAATTGACCTAGCGCGAGCAAACTTGTATACTTACACATTTTGGGGAGAAGGTGTGTCGCGTACCAAAACCCTTAAGGCAACCAATTTTAACATACTTGCACATCTCAGGCAGATGAGCTGTGTAACAAACCTTTGTCTTTGTGACTTATTTAACCCTTTACCTACCTTCTACGCTCTTACAGAGATATTTCATTCATACTAGATCACATGAGATACATGTAGTTGGCGACAACTGCTTTTTCTAGTTTCATTCTATTGTCCAGAAACCGCTGTATTAATATTTCCATTAATTGTTATCACAATATGCTGTAATTTGTGGAGAGTGGTATTAATTAAATTGCATAGTATGAATGTGATCATCAGACTGATGCATTAACTGGAATATTGCCTTATAGGAAGAAGGCACCTGCTTTTGAGAGGTTCCACGCATTAACAACGCCAGTGCCACCAACACTGTCACTACCGTATCAATACAAGGTTCTCTCAGAGATGTTCAGGAGCATGGACACTGTGGTTGGAATGTTGTACAATCGTTTGGAGACAATTACATTCAATCGCGTAAAGGCTGCGGTCCAGGAGATGTGTAGAAGGTATCGTTTGTAATTTGTCTTGACAAGTCTGAACTAAGTTTTTGTGTACCTTGCTTGCTTGTACAAATAATGAAGGTCTACATCTTAAAATAATTGTAGAATAAGTCTGAAATGTTAGGTAAAGAGTTCTGTTAGTCATCTTGTTCGCCTAGCATGAGCTGATTGATTGTCCTGTATGTAATGTTTTATGTTAGGGTCCATCTGATTGCCTTTTGCAGGCTTGCATTGAATAACTTGATTACTTTTGCAGGCTTGCATTGAATAATTTGATTACTTTTGCAGGCTTGCATTGAATAATTTGATTACTTTTGCGGACTTGCATTGAATAACTTGATTACTTTTGCAGACTTGCATTGAATAACTTGATTACTTTTGCAGGCTTGATTGAATAACTTAATTACTTTTGCAGGACTTTTGAAAAAAAGAATCTTGCTCAGATCAAGAGTGTCCATCCAAGTGCATATGTGTTTAGGCAGGAGAAGGGGCTAAAATGCTATGATAATAAGACACACTCAAGTGCCTTCCAGCTCACATTGGAACCAGTGGTCAATGATGATCAAGGTTTGTGTGTAAAATGTTAAATGCTTTTGAGTGTTGGGTTGATACACGAGCAGGCAGCAGCCATTTAGTATTTTAAGCTTCATTTGCAACATCTTGTGTTGATATATATATTACAATATGATCATATTATGGATGATGCATTTATCTGGGTTGCAACGGTGTAACCAGTATACAACAATATGCTGTCAATAATAACATCAATCAAAGCTGCATGGCTATCATCGGAAAGCGTTTAATGGCAAATAGATAAAATAACGTTTTATTCATACTACCTCAGGTACTAAAGATGGAGGCCAGAAAATTCCACACCTAAGTGCCAGTGCTCTGCTGGAGCGAAAAACTACTTTTCATCGAAACCTGATAGCTATTGTCAAGCAGCACCACAAGGTATTTACACAATGAACTAAATATCCAGATCGTCTAGAAAATGTGCAATGTATACTTCGGAAAATTTATTTGGTTACAAAATGTGCCGTAAAGAGGTTATCAGTCAGTGAATAGTAACAATTATTTGGGCTATTATCTCCTTAACTGGATTCTATACAGATCTCATCTGATGTTAACCAGCTTTGACGTCTCTCCATCTTTGTGTTTCAGGAGTGGCTGGAAAAGCAAGCGCGCCCCATGACTGTTCCTGACGATAAACTTGTTAGGTGGCATCCAAAGTTTCCACTGGACGAGGTTCCCGATGTGGAAGAGTCTGAACTTCCAGAAGTGCCCGTTGTGCAGAGTTACACTACCGCCGCAGCTGTTCTTGATAAGGCTAGAGGAATCGTCAGTGAGAGGGTGCGTGCATAGTATTCCATTGCTTGTACCATGGAGTTAAAAAGGCTGACTAAACTCACTAGACTAGATGTATGTAAATGCAATGCGCACTTTAATGATAATCACTAACAGAAAAATTACATGTATTGATCTCAGCAGTACATGAATGATGGATGTACATTTCTCTTTTATGTACTCTTGTTTATATGTGTGTTCTGTTGCATTTATAGTTGCGTATTTATATTGTGTTTGAAGTATTATAACTGTACAATTTGGCATTTGGAACAAAAAAAGTAAAGAAGTAAGCACTTGAAGTGAGGATTTCAAACAGTTCTCGACCATTTTCGTATTTTCCCTTCAATTACAATATTTACCGGGATCGTATCAACAAGTGTCTACAGTAAGGCCAACATGTCTTAGAACACTCCTACATCGTTGCTTTTACTGAAGTAATACAACTATTTAAATTTTATTTGCTGAATTCTTATTGATGCAGTGACATAATGATGCCACTTGTTTCTCGTGATACCCTGCCCCTAGACTTTTTTAATGTACTAATTTGCATAAGTAATAGAGACGGTGTGTCAGGCTAAAACCACTTATGTCACTTTTCACTTTTGTCAGTGAATGGAATTTTTGTCAGATTGAAGAATGTTGCTGTGTTATTTGCTATTTCATATACGGTAATGGCACAAACTCTCAATGGTAATTTTGATACTGGAGAAATCACTAATATTTCTGCTAATAGGCAGGACCTAATTTGTCTACGTTTTTATTTTTCAACTCATTTGAGAGATAATGATTAAAGGGATTTTGCATATGGGCCTCCCATTCATGTTACTATTGTAATTACATTACAGTCAGAAAAAGCATTGGAAAAAGTTGTCGTAGAGCAGGAAGCAGCAAAGAAGAACCCTCCGAATCTAGATGATGATAAGAAAGCAGAAAGAGCAGTGGGATGTCAGCCGAAAGTCCCACCCATGTCTTCGCAACTCAAGGGTGTCCCACTGTCACTACTGGAGAAGGTATCATGGTCCAACATTAATAGCTAGGGATGGTAGCATAAACCAAATGACTACACCCCTAGTGTCATTCTTTCTAATGTGTACCCCAAGTTTAAGTTGGAAAGCTCTGCTACCTAACCAGATGCAATGGATGTATAATTTTTATCAATACCTTATGCAAAAATTCTAATCTTTAAATAAATCGATTGCACTGTAGAATTGACACTGTAAGAGTACTCCTTATGTACTGACAAACTGAAATGCGGATGATTGGTGTTATTAATTTAGGGGTCGTTCACAATTATCAACATTTTCACAAGCGTACAAACCGTACGCTGGGGGGGAGGGGGTCAATGCCCGCCGTACGCTTTCAGCATTTCCGAAAAATGTCGATCCATTTCCCGCGCTGCGCGCCCCAGCCGGCATCGCGCGCATCCTCACGCCGCGATGTGCCGAGCCCCGGCCGCCCTGCGCCCCGCACGGGCTTGCTGAACGAACCAAACGAGCTATCTAGCTAGCAGCAGAGCCGAATGCAGTGTAAACAACCGGCACGATGGCGGGCAATAGTTCTAGCCGCGCTGGTGACCTGGATCAATTCTTCCAGGGTTTGCATGTAATTCATATGTACATGAATTACAAAATGAACATTTTTCTTCGTACAATTTTAGGGGGGAAGGGGTGGGGGTCTCGATAAAGTGTACTCTTTGTACACTTGTGAAAATGTTGATAATTGTGAACGACCCCTTAAGGACAATGCATAAGTACACTTTTATATCTGTTTCTGCACTCTGCATGCTGTTATGTTACAGATTCGAGCAAAAGAAGCAAGTAAATTGCAACAAACCATGACACAGCCAGATTCAGATAATAAGAAAACAGCGATGATGGCTCGTCTTCCTGACTTAACAAGGATCCTACGAACGTATCCTTATCGTATTATTAGTAGCAGGCTTCGAAATTCATGGTAGTCCGTTAGTCCGAAATAACCAGATGTACTCACGGATGAATATATTACAGTAAAAACTGGTTTGGTGGACTACAACTTACAAGACTACCAGGTTACAAAATGTAGTAGCCCTTATGACTACAAGACAAAGAAGGTTAATTTTGTGCCCTGGTTAGAACTGTTATCCTGTAAGAAAATTAGTGGTACCTTACTGTTAGTGAGTTAGTCCTTGATGATAACACGTGCAGTGAAAGATGTTGCTGCACTGGTGCATGTACTGTAATTTTCCTTAACGTGTGTACAGATACTTTGTAACAGAAAAGAAAACTGTGGTGGCAATGGATCCAGCTGTCCTGAATCTTTCACATAGTTATCGCACAGTTTTAAGCACAGGTATGGCCACAGATATTCAAATATACCTGTTATAAACATTTTTATTTATCCGAAATGCATGCTAAAAATTTGGTAAATATTGTCATTGATGTGCTAGTGATTTTGAATGGACACAGGCATCTTGTATTATTAACCTTGTTTTGCTTAATTTTAGCCAGACAATTTCCTTTCAATGTTTATTGTTCTACACTACTCAGCAAATTAATATATTTATTGAGAGGGAGTAGAATCACTACTTTTGTTTTACTAATATTGGGGACTCATGAAGGTTCCAAAAATAGGTTTAAAGAGAAATTAAAAAAATGTTATAATTAAAAAAAATAAGTTAATCACAATATTTATTTCCCAGGGGAAGTTGAGGCTCACATCAACCTATTGGCGGAGTTGGTACCTGATTGGCTAACTATTAACAAGGCTAGAGGCAAGATCTTTCTGAAGATTAGGAAAGATGTAGATGTAAACACAATTTGTAATAGACTCACTAGGCTTCTGAAGAAGTAAGTACAAAATGCTCTGTTTTGCTGTGTTGAGAGCAAAGTGCAAAAAATGCAGTCCATACAGGATGAAAACTGTAGTGAATGCATAATTGGACCTTGCACCTGTTCTGTTTATGTCTTATTATAAAGGCATGTGAGTGCATGCTTTATTGTATTGATTTTAAACGTCAAGGGTTGTATTGTGTATTATAACTTTGGTCTTATTATTGTAGTTATTAAGCTGCAACAACATTAAGGTTTTGCTATTGTGGTTGGTAACTTTGTTCCAATCTCCAAGTATTTTTATTGTATACACAAAGCATTCCATATTTTTCTTGAAATATTGGGTTTTACAGTTTTGTACAATCATTTTTAACCTTTAATTGTAATTAGTATTTCTAGAGTTGCTTTACTGTTTTTATCATGGGAATTTATAATTAGATTTAGTATTTTGTTCCTTGCCCTAACAATCATTATAATGCACTTCAATTTGATATCTTTCCTACTAACCTGTTGCAGTGTGTTACCTTTGGCTACTTCATAAATATGTGCCGTTTAGACCAATTTTTGCTCAGGTATTGATTTTACTATTGTCATAAGATTATGTATAAAATACACTGTCAAGTTTTGAATTTATAACCATTGGAATTAACCATAAAATATTAGCTAAGTAATCGTAAACTTCATGACAGACTTTCAATGATTCGAATGTCAGCAGGTTTCCTCTTATGGAAAGAGTGAGATTTGTTAGATATATATTTCCAAAGAGGTCATATATTGTCGACATGAAATCAGTTAGGAAAGATTATTAGGTTAGATGCCAATAATAGTTTTTGTGAATTAAGTGTTTTATTAAAAATATTTGTATAAAATTAATACATATTTATCATTGTCATAAATTCTAAACTTCCCTGCTATTATCAATTGACCACTTATATTGTACAAAAACACAACGTGCACGTGTAGTCACGTAAAAATAATATACTAGACTACAATATACTCTCCTGTTACAATGAATACACATTGGCTATGTAAGACATACATTTCAAACATTTACTAATTTTAAGAGACCATGCTATGATTGTATATGAAATTTCTCTGACATTGTCTGATCTGCAAGATTGTATGAAATGCACAGTGTATACAGTGACATATTTCCACAGTTGCTGCTATATAATAGTAGTGCTTATATACACATTAATGCAACTCTGTACTTCTCATACTAGTGCTTTATCGAGAACTGTAAAGTATATTTGGATTTATTCATATTCTCATATATCTGACTAGTTCATAGAAGCAGAGATGGTGAACGTAAATTGGACTCACACGTCGGAACATTACACATTTATTTCACATAGTTTTATGTTATAGGTATTATGCAGACAAAAGGGGCATAATGATCAGGGTAGTTATAGCAGAACAGACTACAATAGTATCGAGATAAAGTTAGGAAGTAAGAGTCGAGGAAGATAAAATGAAAAGAAAACTGGAGAAAGAGGGAGGGTATAGGAGTCGAGCAGCAGAACAGGAGACAGGTTTTTAAGACAGGACTACACACACCCTGAAATCAAGAGGAAACTCGCCTATGACCAAAAAGAAGTGTTTATGTTTGAACGCAAGCACGCACACACATACACAAAGACACGATGCTCATGCATTCGAGCAATGTTTTACGCCTGGTTCATGACAAAAACCTGTGAAATACCTCATGTGTATTCCCTCTGACTTTAGATATGCCATTTTACTTGATCACAGATGATGATATTTAAGTATCAACTGATTGTCTTGGACCAGGTGACAGATCTGATACCATTGAATTATGGTTTATCTCAATGTTGTTGCGCTCCTTTTGCGTTGAGCAGCGAGTCTAGCTGTGAGTAAATATATGTCTCTTGCTCGTTACTAGCAGATATGAGATTCACACATTCTTTCAGAATAACTGCAAGCCTGTTGGCTATCGCAGTCGGAGGTGACCTCAGTAAGCCACGGCGTGCATTGCTTAATCGACTAGTAAAGATGTCTCTGCAAATAACCTGCAAATAATTATAATACACAGTAAGCATATGAACATATATGATAACCTAAACTTAATTATCTTAATAAATAATATTAAAAATAGGACAACGAGTTGAGCTTATCAGATCTGTTCATTGTGTATTACTGAATACAATAATATCAGGAGTGTATAATAATATCTATTATGATACACTCCTGATAATATCATGGTAATTTGCTGATTGCTTGCCAATGTTCCTGTTAATTATATGTCACAATAATTTGAACATTACAACATTGAATCAGGCTCTGTATCTGTGTAACAGGAAATACCTGCAAGTTACTATTGATTCTCTGGGGCTGGCACCAGCCTGTCTCAAAGTTGCACAGAGTCAAGCAGTCGAAGAATGAACAGGCCTCGTGCGAGGAACAATTCTCGTTCGACGTCGTGAACGCAAACTCTGCTCGTAGCCTCGAGTCTACGAGCACAGAGTCGGCATCGATGACGTACACTCCGAGATCAGCTCCCAATCCAAAGTTGTCTGCCTTCACGTCACAGATGTGCACACGCTCGCCGAAGTCCCTATCGAGAGATGCGGCAAGCTCGAGGAACTGTCTGGCCACGTGCGCGCGCAACGACCAGTCGTCGCCGCCCGTCACGAGCCGCGGACTGAGAATCGCATCGGAGGGAATGTAATCGATGGCGTAGAAATGCCCACAGGTACCCAGAACGTGTGGGAAGTGCGTGTTATGCAGCAGTCTGACCAGCATCACGTACTCGTCCTGTTGAAGTAGCGACCATAAGCTCAGCATCGCTGCGTGCAAACTTTCGCTACTTCCTACAAACTGCTGAAACTGCATTGACCAGATGCTATTAAGGGCGGTAGTGTCACTGATGTGAGAGAAATTGAACCTTGCGTTGAGCCACAAAGATTCACGGACAATTCGGGAAAACTCCTGCAGGGAAGGAAAGATGTGGCTGCCATTAGGAAGATCGTAGCCAAGAGTGGGGAAGTTGTAAAAGCTGCGTCGTTCCGACTTCAAGACAATGTCATTGTCATTCAACTTCACGTGATAAACTTGTTTACCTGGAAAATACAAATGGTTAATCATTGCCAGGATTCTGAATTACAATAGCAACAATGTTTAAATTTCGGCAAGCCTGATACAGCCAAGCGGCCATAATTGTCTATGACAAAATAAGCCATGGGAGAATTGTCTATCTGCCATTTCATATGGTTGATGTCCATAAATAGATTATTGTTTACTGTTGCCTTACCTTCATTGTAATTCATGCAGCGTTTGAAGATGAAATTGGGCTTTTCGCAGATGTTAACACACATGCTCCCCAATACTGCCCCGCGCTGATGATGAAAACACTGGAATTTCAAGAAGTGTTGTTATTGCTAAATAGATACAGTAATGGGGTAGTTACATCTTCCATACAGCCTACGAAGGGCGGGTAGCTTTCGGTAGCGGGAGCAAAGAGGCTACACCGGTAGAGCTGGACCTAATAAAATCCGAACTACTGTATAAGCCGTATTTTTGGCGTACAGATATTTTCGCGAATGGATTCGTGCGCCGGCCTATGCATTCGGCGCACGGATCCATAGCTGCCAGCGCTGCATACTGTCGTAGGACGTTCCCGCGGTCGCGTGCGCCTTGCCGCGGAACTGCGCGCAAGATCTGTTCGCAGCGCTTCGGATCAACACCTCCTTTCGGCAACGCTTCTCTAGTATCCCGTCTCATCTGGACGGACAGTTTCGCGAGTGGTTAATTTCGCGGTCGGTGAATTATGAAATATTCAGTATTATTCGCGCGTTGTTATTTTCGCGGTCGGGGACGCGTTCGCGAAATTCGCGAAAATTAAGCCATGGCGAAACATACGTACAGCTTATACAGTATGCCCCATTACATTCCATCTATATCGCATTTCAAATGGAAGGGCTTTCATGAAGCAACCGAAGTCGGTCGGGCCCTAGCTCTAGTACTACAGCCCTTGTTGCCACAGGCCTGTGCATGCCACTACTAGAGCTAGTGTGGCCCTAGCTCTACCAGTACTAGTGGCAGTGGATCTCCTTCGCTCCCACTATAGCCTACAGTACACTGAGTACAGGCACTGTACCAGCACTATAGCCATCCACTGCTCAATTCTAGTTTGGGACCCTGGCCCTAGCTCATTTTCGCAAATGTGTGTGTACAGTGAAACACAATTCACAAAGGATCAGTGTGTTTGTATATATCTATAGCTAAACTAAGTCGTTTTACTTACTAACTTAGGCTCGTAGGGTCTATGTCCCCCTGACCTCTGTTTGACCTGGCTCGTTTAGCTATTTCTGACTAACCCTAACGCTAACCCTATATATTATATCAAGAGCTAATAATACCTAGTAGGTACTATTAAAATACCTAATAGGTATTATCCGCTCTTGATTATATATTATATATATATATATATATTATATATTATTAGTCAGAAATAGCTAAACGAGCAAGGTCAAACAGAGGTCAGGGGGACATACTCATAGAGTTATCTGCCTAACATAGCCAGTGCTAAACACAGGATGGCCAATCATAGACCCAGAACTTAATTCTGAATACAACAATCAAAGACCAAAAGGCAAAACGCAAACTAACCAGATCTCTTATTATAGCCCGAGCTTCTGAATTTGAGCAATGTAAGCTCCATAGAATCAGGACCACAGCTATAATAAGGGTTGTACAGATAACAACAAACATAAAACAAAACTTCCGTAGGGCACACTTTCGGGCCCCATACAAAAGTATTGACCACATAAACGACGACATATCAGCAGTGCCACTGTCATCTTAAAGTAAGTGCATTCATAATGATTTGTATACAGAATATATGCATAACTTGATGTTATAACAAAAAAAGTAAACAAATGTAGCAAAATCGCGTGTGAAATAGACTGACCCGATACATTCCTGTGGCTACCAGCCGTTCCGGTAACCCGTTATATATTACAACATGGTTTTTCTCCCGGTAACCGTGACAAAACCTAGACCTGCAGCAGTACAATTAGCTCTAGTACTATAGCCGCTTACATTAACTGCCGCTGGAGTTGCCTGCTGCCAGCGGCAGTTAATGTAAGCGGCTATAGTACTAGAGCTACAGTACAATAAGCCAGTTCGTAGTTAGCCAAGGGGTTGTGTGACGTCACAGGTCACCGGGTCATTTGTGACAAAAATCGATCAAAATCTCGAGTGCGGCGTGCGCTCTCGGTTCAGTACGTATAATATCATTAATATGTACTCTGTGTACGTGCACACACCCGCACGCACGCACCTGTACGTGCACACGCACGCACGTGAACGTGCACACGCACGCACGCACGCACCTGTACGTGCACACGCACGCACGCACGCACCTGTACGTGCACAGCCGCCGACGAACGCAAAACGTGTACGTGCACACGCACGCACGAACGTGTACGTGCACACGCACGCACGAACGTGTACGTGCACACGCACGCACGAACGTGTACGTGCACACGCACGCACGAACGTGTACGTGCACACGCGAAGACTGTAGCATTACGACACAGATGCATGCGTATTCTGCACGGCCGAACTACGAAATATTTTGTCATAAATGACCTGACCCGGAAGTTTGCGCATGTGCATAACAACGAACTGGCTTATTATTTCAGTGTCATTCACCCGTGAGTCTCTTATCACGGGTATTTATTTGCCCGCGACTAAATTACCTTATGATTTTCACCCATTTTCATTTACCCCAAAATAATTTCATTAACCCTCGGGTGAACCATTCACAAAGCACTGCTCTACAGAACTGGTCGCCACCATCCACTCACTCTCGTTTATGTGTAACTTCACTATCTAATCCAATTTAAATGCTTTATTTTTCCCCATGTCATCCCATGCTCGATCACACTGTACCCTTGCCCTGGGGGGGCTTATGTTGGGCTTGCGAGCCGACTCGACTGGAAGCAACTGGCTGCAATTCACTGCGACTGGCCGCCACTAGTTGCTCGGAATAGAACAGTGGGCAACTGGACGCAACTAGTCGCTGCCAATCGCTTCCAGTTGCTTCCAGTCGAGTCGGCTCGCAAGCCCGACATAAGCCCCCCTTTACATCCATGCATCCACCGTTGAATAATTTGAAACCAAGACAATATGTAACAAAACAATATGTAATACAAATTTTCTGAACATAGCTTATGCCTTTATTTATAGTTATAGTTTTTATTAGGCAGGAATCAAATGAACAAGAAATTTCACAACGGATAAAACTTGTACATACATATTTACGAATGTATATTGTTTCTCTAAAAAGCCACATGCACACAGTACATGAGACACTGGTGGTGAGCATGTTTTAGAAAAATATACATTTTAATTACTTTTTACTTCTTAGTCTTCTTATTTGAGTGTAGCACAATGTAGTCTGTGAAAAAATAACTTCTAGCTATTGCAATAGTAAAATTGCAATGAAAAATAATTTACTTGATTGATTTGTGTATACCAACGTGAAACCATGCAATCTGAAAATGCCTACCGCGCAAAATAAGTCATAAGCTGTATCACGTTCACAATTTAAATAGGAGTATTACCTTGAAATTGTAAAGTAAGTTGTGCTTATTTTTTAAAACCTTGTTTCAACCTTGATGATGAACTTTATTCCTACGCTGAGAAGCTTAGGTTATGTATATTTATCACTAAGCATGAATAATTATGACGTAAATAACCCTGCCTAACAGTTATAAACACCTTTGTCAACCATGGCTACCATTAGCCATTTGCTTCCAGCGACAATCATGAGTACTGAATTTCCTTGTAGCGTATAAACCTAGTCAGGTTGTTCTTTGCTGTCAGAATAATGGCCAGATTCTCCCCAAGACTCTTCTTCTGTTGCTGGATCTGTGGCAACAAATGGCATGTACATTACATAAGATTTTATACATCTAAGCAATATATATACATATATATACCAATACAAAGCCTCTATCTAAATCTGTCATGTTCTTCACATGACAGTTAGCAGACAAGTGATGTATGACATTCTCAGATGACTAGATACCTAATTTGCATAATTTTTTTCCCATTTTTGTTCTTTGATTGCCATGAATATGTGTGCACGTGTGTGTAGATCTCTGCATGTACATGTTCAATGATTCTACAATGTTACCTTGCTCCTAAACACTGGCGATAGCGTTTTCAGTTTGTCAACAAGCCCGATAGCTCTGCAAACCTCCTCTATAATAGCACCATCTTGCCCAAACAGATCAAATATGGCATCCAAGCTTTCTGCACACACCCACAAAGTTGCGTCTCTGCTGCACATCTCCACTAGAAACAAACCTATGCCCTGTGTAAAACCAAAAATTATGCATATCATTAATGAACATTTTAAAATCCTCATATTATGCAATATTGCATTCACATGCAGGAGGCAAGAATTTACACCCCAACCCTGAATCAAGGAAATGGCATAATTCTCTGATTATCATCCTTTTCATTTATCTTGGTAATCTAAATTTAGAATTCACATATACACAGCTATGTATTACGTTTTACCTTGAGAGCTTCCATGCTAGATACATCAGCAGCTAGAAAGCATCCAAGTGTCTTCAGAATGCGAACGATATTTGCACGAACCGCTGGTTCCTCACAATGTTGCCCAACTTCTGACAATAGCTGCAAATTGCTAGGCAGCATGTCTTTGAACTTGCAAAACATAGGAGTTAAGATATATGTAGTATTTATCAGAAGTGCATGAGCATACTATCTAGAACAGTGCTATTATAGTGTGATATACTCTAGCAATAATTTGCAAAATATACATCTGACGTTAATTAAATTTTTTGCCAAAAAAATTGAGCACCTCACTAGTAAGTGATCTTGGTAACAATATAAAAAATACTACACACCATAGCATACAAAGGCAAATGCAAATGTTTATATAATACCTTTGGTGACTTAAGTTCACAGAGTTGTTGAAGAACAGCCCTCATTGCACTCGTTGAAGACTCCAGTAATTCTAAATCGCCAATCTTGGCCACTTGAAATGCTTCTGTCCCAATCATGGTCCATAACTCCCATAAACCATCATGGCCACCTACATCATCTGGGCTCAGCTTTGCCACCATATTGCTTATACAAAGTAGAGCCCGGCACCGTACTCTCAGTTGGCTAGAACACAAAAGATGCAACAACTGCTGACAACCTGGCCCAAATAATTGTGTGTATAGGCCTATGTGAGGAAATAAATTATACATGTGACCCTATCTGACATATAGCACGTACTTATTGGTCCATACTACCTTGAAATTAGCTTGTTTCCTTGGCTGTGGCATGACAGCTTCTCTCGTGTCACAGTGTCAAGGTCTTTCATCAGGATAATAACCTTTTGCAGTAGAGCCTGACTATTGATGGCTTCATGTAAATCTGGAACCATATCTCCTATGCACTACATCATACCAAGAATAAGCATTACCAGGTTATATCTGCAAAGATTATTATTGTGATGGAAATTCAACCCTAGATTATTAAAATAATAATAAAAAAATATATTCAAGTCTAAATGCTATGGAAATGCTAATGAATTAGTGTCAAGCGCAGTTTGTGGTATTTATCATTTGAGTAATAAAAACAAATCTTATATAATATATCACAATAGTTTTTGCCAAAAAACTTTCTAGTGATTTCTAATTTATAAATGAAAGTAAATGACATACACAAAATAGAATAGAAAGATGACAAAAAGCTTATTATGGCAATTTATATACCCAGGGCGCGAAATTAACACCGGCACACTGGCATATGCTGGCAAATTACTTGGAGGGCCGGTAACATTGGCAAAACACCAGCCCTCCGAGCCGGTGGTTTCAGCCTGTGTTAGCGAGTACCTACATGTTTATTTATAGCATTAATGAGCAAATAGCCTACATTACTGTTTTACCTGAAGGATATCACGCCATAATTTATCAACATTTTACAAATTTCAAATCGAAAATGCAAGCATGAGACATGACATTGATTTTACAAACAAAATTTATGAGGGCTGGTAAATTATGGTGAGGGCTGGTAAATTATGGTGATGGCTGGTAAGAAATTGCTGTTACCAGCCCTCTGGGCTGGTGCAAAAAAAATCTGAGTTTCGTGCCCTGTATATCACTTTCACACATTTTTCAAAAATTTCACAAACATTTTGTAAGTAAGATGGGACATATATCTTCACAATGATCAGAGTAGCAGGTTTGTATAACTTCATACCGAATCAGTGACTTGCTCTTCAACCTCCATATCTGCAATGCTTTCACTAGTATCACTGCTGTCCAGATCTTCCCACTCTTCTTCCTCACAATCTAAATTCAGGCAAATGCATAGTAATGTGAAACCTGAAGCATTGTTATACCCAGCCATTATACATATAAATATTATTCACATAAAGTTTAATTATAATTCTTGACTATGTACACCATTTCATATGATTTTGGATTTGAGAGAGAAAGTAAATTACTTTGTGCAAAAAAAATGCAACCTATAACTAGAGCCGCAGAGCATCTGGGCTCATCTGAGGTCTGTACCTACCGACAGAAACAAAACAAACAAAAAAAACAATGAGAGAAAGAAGCTCACAAAAAAAAAATAAAGATAACCGAATATAGTCTCACCTGACAGCGAAAATATCACTGATTACACCAACATTCAAAACACCAATATTTTATGCAGTTATAGCATAGAAAAATTGATTTGACCACATCATACCAGCAATAAATTTTTTCGAGTCAGGATTTCCAAAAATCACAAATGGCGTCTCAAACAAGCGAACATAATTAAAACAAAGGGGCATCTATTTGTGTGTGATAAGTATTCTCGCTGGCGGTACGCAACGAGGATTTGATCCACTTCTCTCTCCGTTTTCGTTATACTTATAGTCCCTAGGACTTTTGAAGACTAATATTTATGAGGTTACAACTTACACTCTTGTTTGTGTTACGCTACTAAGCACCTCTGTGTTTACATATCTGACCAAAAATATCTCCGGTGCGATTTTTGCATTACTGTACCCTTGTTGACGTCTCGCGGTACCGCGAGAAAGTGCGAGACATGACAGCGAAAATCAACAAGAGAACGCAAAATTGTAATCGTGCATGATTTTGACTTTGCATGCGGTTCTAAGACATTTTATTGTTATTTCAAACAATTCCTGTTACTCAAGCAACAACGGTAGGCATCATGAGAGTGAGAATAAACACTAAAAAATGTTGAAAAAAACTCGCAATGATCGCTTTAAGTCATGCGTAGTGACACCTTTGTTAGGCGCAGATATGCAGATACGCAGTTGCGTACACATCATTTCAGCAACCTTCTGCATTCTGCATACCTCCCAAATCCCATTGGTTGATACAAATCGCGTGCCTGAAACTCCAGTTTTATGGTGCATTGTGAACCTAACCCTAACCCTATTTAAAAAAAAAAATTTAATTGTTGTAAAAATTATTTGTGGTTATGAAATTGTTGTAAATAAATCATGTAAATATTTGCCTTAATTGGAAAGAAATAGTTAAACTGTTTAATGGATAAAGATAGAAAAATACAGAAAACAGGTAAATAATAGAAAATCTGATGGGATTCGATCCAAAGACCTTTGAGCCGTAATCCTGTGCTGTAGCCGTTGCGCAATCGAGGCATATTGGCTTTCCAGATTATGGATGTTCCATGAATATGAGAACACTGTGACATCATTGTTAGCAGTTCAGGAATCCATGTTTAACCCTCCTCTTGAGGGTCAAAAGGTTATCAGACACTTACTCTTTGCACGTCAGTGGAAAGCACATTTCATGGTCCTTTCAATAAAGTTGTAAAAATGGTAGGTCATGCAGTGCTCGAAACAAAAAAGTTGTTCACTGTGTCCGTTAGGCCACGTCCTCAGAAAATGTCTAAAATCTGCCCTGTGCCCCATTGACCTTTGACCTGTGACCTCCAATTTCGGCACAGTGATGGCTTTTCCTACCATGATGCTATACACCGACTATCACGAGCCTAGGTCGAACCGTTTAGATTTGTGCCGCAATTCTGCATTTCCTCCCTATACCTTAATTAAGGGGGAATGTTCCCCCTTCTTTTACAGCTCTTGACTTTTGACCTTTGACCACCAGCTTCAACATCCCAACTCGTTTTCGGAGTACCCCCCTACGTCCCGACTTTCAAATCCGTACGTCGAGCCGTTCAGATTTGTACCCAAATGTTGATGGACGCACGCACGCACGGACGCACGGACAATCATGCGATTCTACAAGCTGCATCCGACTACGTCAGATGAACTAAAAAGTATAATAGAGATTGTTATTTCAATTACACACATTGGAAATAAGCGATGAATATCCTAAACTATGGATGCAGAATGAAATATAATTACTACTTGTAATAATCATACAACCATACCATCAGTGCAGCAGATGTTGGTTGTTATTTCTAAGGCAGTCTGCTGTGCATCAAGGATATTTTCAATTTTTTTAACAGTAGCATCAAGCTCTGAACTCTGCAGTAAAGAATGCAGAAACACTATGTAACAGCTAGTGTGTACGCACATTTGCTCCAAAATCAATGCCCCCAATATATGTATAAAGATTAGAGCTGCTTTATGTAACATTTTATGGTGATGAAACCAGCAAACATTTACCTTCAACTTAGATTGTTTAAAAATAATTGTGGGATTTCTCGCAAACTATGCAAAACACACATTAACATTATTGGTTAACCTACATGGAACTCTGCTGAACCACTGCTAGCACCTAATTCTGCAGATGTTTCCTGTAATAACATAATAGGAAATCTAATTAAAAACTTGTGCGTGCTCCTTTGAACCTAGTCTGTAAACCACATATGTATCATCAAAATATGTAATGTGTGAACTATATGCTAATTTGTTATATGAATTGTGCTGTCACATACGCAATGTTATACGATAGTATACTATACCCTGACTAGTGAATATCTCACCTCTAGTTTTGCTGCTAGCATTGTTAGCTGCATTGTCGAATCAAGTCTAAAGCAGCTACATAATACGGTAATAATGGGCATGACCGTTTTACTCTCCAATTTTCCATCAGCCATGTTCAGGTGAATTCCTATATGTAGAAAAACAGTCGTGTAGTCATGTAGTAGCTATGTTGTACACATGCAGTGCAGATCACTTAGGACGCTACGTTTTCCTATAACTTCAATTGTTATTTTATTTAAAAACTTATTTATATAATACTTACATGCCATACTAATATATTTTGTTTAAAAAAACTATATATATTTTGGTAATAGGTAATAAGGTAATCATTGTAAACAGAAAAATACCAATTCTATTCACCTATGGCTAGTGACCTGAGAAGTAGATGTTCAGCATCACTTTTGTCACTAATAACCAATTTTGTCAGAGTGTCACTGAGATCTGTGCTTGCAGCTGCTGAGACAAATTCGGGGTTGTCTTCTGAGATGGCATGCAGGCATCGGGCTATAACATGCAAATATATCGGCTAACTTATTTCATGCAGTACCATGATACATGTAATGAATGCTATATATATTTCCAACTGAGTAGTGGGCCAGGATCATATATAACTTACAGAGTGAGCAAAACTTTTCTCAACCAATATGTTTTACGACAACATGTATTTTTATCGGTTAATCAGTTAAAACGGGAGAATGATAGAGGCTATGCGCACACATACCAACAGATATTGCAGCATCAATCCCATAAGTGTCGAACTGAAGTGCTGGTGTCAGAATGTGCAGAATGTTTTCCTTGTTGAATACTCTGATGGCAGCACTACTGTTTTCACTAAAATTAATATAGGTCTGGATGCATCAACAAACAAAAGATTCATCATGCAGTAACAACCGTTACACTGACAGATAAACTGCTATTAATGAATGTATTATGCAAATTAAATTATTAATATTATGATTACCAAAGATTCCAGAGCAAGTGTACAGCATGAGTGAATGTTTCTGTGTTCACATCTAACACTTCTTTGCCACCTAAAGGTTGTTTCATCTTTTCCGGCATCCATGAGTTACTATATTGCTAGAAAAATAAACACGTTACACATCTGTATAGAAATGTCTTGTATTGTGAAACACAGGTGGCTGCATAATTTTTAACATTCTCTCACATCCTGCGAAACAATCTATTCCTAAAAATTCATGGTTTTCAATAATACATTATATGCTAATTTTAGTTAGTTAAATACTTACCGCGCCTATATGGCGCATAGGGCGATGCCTATCTCAGTTTCAGTAACCCTGAGGCCCCGCAGCTGCTTTCACAGTAAATGCTACAGTAGGGGGTTAGTCCACTGGTGGTAATTAATAATGTGCATATTTTAATGCACAATAAATGGTAATACCTTTTTGAAGAGAGCAATCAGAGGTGTAAGAACATCTTGCTTGACCATGTCTTCACAAACATCTGCTCCACCATATGCACTAACATTTCTGTCATAAAGTAAATTAAAAAAAACTGATTAAAGCCACCGGAAAACAAAAACTCGTGATAATGGTAACAGTTTAACAAACAAATGTTATGAAAAGGTTTCTGTTAAGAAGATGAACTGGAAAAGGCAAAAACCGGTCATTGTTGTAGAAGTAGTTATAAGCAGTACTTCAGCTCAGGTTGAACATGTAAACCACAAAGGAGGTGTAAATGGAGGATAGCTGACCTGAGTGCTCCCGCAGCAGACATCCTGACCTGTAGACTATCATCGATGAGGAGTGGCCCAATGATGCGTAGTACACTGTTCGATGTCAACAGCTGAATGGATTCTTTCTGCGAGACTAGCGAGGCAACTGTTGTGCAAGCACATTCTTTGGCTTCAGCGGAACCACACTGCAACTGTAACAGATCCCGAGAGATTCTTATATTAGAATAGACTGTCGGTGCTTGTTTTGGTAAGATATATAAAACATATCATTTCACTTGCAACAAATACAAGAAACAATATAGAGCAAATAAAGCGATGTTCATACTAATACATTTAATTCAGTTTAAATTACTTCTCTATATATGTATACAAAAACTTGAGATTGAAATTCAAAACCTGACTCTCTGTGAACACTACTTTAACCATGATATGTATCAATGTCACACTGCACAAACAATTTTTAAGGTCATGTCAAAATGATATAGCTATTTCCTATTGCAAAGTACATTTGCACCTTAAAATTAGGTAGCTTTGTCAATTAAATACCTTTTCAATAATTGCACCAATAGTACCAATGGCATGATGATTTCTATCAACTGTGTTCATTTCTTCAACTTCTGCTTCAGCCTCTGCATCTTTGACACTCATCAAACCTGTTGGGTTCTGCTCCTTCTTTTTCTTCAATTTTTTTGCTTTACCCATGCCAGTCTGTAGCTTTTATACCTATTAAAATTCGTAGAGAAAACGCTGACTAAGGTAAGATACTAAGTTTTATCCAACACATTTTTACCTAGTCCGACCAGGCTCTACGAATGCAGGGTTACAAATTAAGGGCACCAAGCAGCAGTTTTGCTTCCTACAAGGGTCAGTTTGCAGCCTGCTCTCAATGCTGGCAGCAAATACTAGCTATACAAAGAAATTCCTAATACACCATAGTAAAAGTACTAAAGGTTCGGATTAGGTGAGTAACTTTGCAGGTAGTGTGTTACATTTTGCACCCTGTCTGCCTAAGAAACTACGACATCTCCACATTCCACCTATGCCACATTTCCTGCAGAAATGGAAGTGTTTTCATTGTAGAGTAATATAGTTGGGTGAAACATGTCAACTCAATATTTTTACACACTTACTTCATACCTATCCACAAATTAACAAGAGATTTTGGTAATTGTTTCTTGTGGCTCTGCAATTTTTGCATAGGTGTGAATTTCTTAGGTAGAAATGCTAGGTTAATCAATTTTTTATTATACTATTTTACTCGCTTAATTAAAGCGAGGATTTCTCAACCGTTTTCATATTTTCTCAACCATTCTGATACTTACTGGCACTCCTTGCATAACACCAAATGTATATAGTAAGTCTAACAAGTCATAGAACACCCGCACAACATTCTTTCTACCAATATGTGCACCAATCTCAATCTCAAATTAGAATGTTAACATATGTAAACAAACCTAGCCTGTGATTTTTGCTCTCGCATGACCGGGACCCTGTATCTACACTAGTGCCGCTTTCATACTGCGAACGAATTTAGCCCGCTTCTGAAGCGGGATAACTTTAGCTCGGGATAAGTCGTTCATACTGCGACGGACTTTAGAGCCGCGCTTCTGGGCGGGATAACTTTAGCTCGGGATAAGTTACGTTTCAGTACTGACGTTAGCGTCGGTCTGAAGCGGACCTCTAAGCCACGTCCTGAGGTGCACATCCACTTTAGCTCGGGCTAAGTGTTTTCGACCTCTTCAGCACTGGGTTTATCCCGCTTCAGGTCCGGACCTGAAGCGGGATAACCCCCAAGATGAATGGGGTAATGGGGGGTTGGTGGGGAGGGAAATTTAGCAGCGAGCTAAAGTCGAGATACCTTTTCATACTGACGTTAGCTCGGGTCTGAAGCGGAGCTGACCACCCCTTAGAGTGGGATAACTTTAGCTCGGGCTAAGGGTGTTTCGACCTTTCATACTGGGGTTTATCCCGTTTCAGGTCCGGACCTGCAAGCGGGATTAAACCCGCAAGTGTGAAAGCGGCATAGGTTAATTACTTTTGTATACATTTCGAAGCACACACTCGATTAATATTTGCGTAATTAATATTTTATTTTTATTTTTCTCCGGCACAAAGTATAGTTGCAGCCTGGTAAAAAAATTAATTCTCAACCGCATGGGGCACCGCATGTTTAGTTCTAGAACTATAGTCGCTTGCTCGCACAGGGCTCCAGCTATAGCTCAAACCATGTAAACTGGAGAACGGATGAGCTGCTGCCACGAGGAACGGATTACAGACCCAAAACGAGAGCAAGCCATTTACCCATGGGGTGTGGGCATAGCACTGGCGCTGATTACAAGGTTGTCAGGCAACACGTTTAGGATTAGAAAAGTGGTCGAGGTCATTCCCCCATGGCATGAGTAAGGGCAGTCACCGTGTTTTGCCGGTAGCATTTCAGATGAACGGGTACCCACCGAGCATTTGAAATGGAATTTGCACAGTAGTGAAGTCCTGTTGAGGATAAATAATAAATGCATGGCTGTAAATTGTGAAAAGGTGTTCGAAAAGATCAGGCCAAGAGTCCGTGTAGATAACATCAGTGTTAAAACAGCCGATAATTTTGGGCATTTTGTGAGCAGTTGTTTTGTGGAGGCATTTCGGTTGCCCAGTTTCAACATAGTTAATGTGGCTATCAGGAGCTATACGCGCCTGTAGGCAGAGTGGAAGGGCTAGTTATAGTTCTATGAGGCTAGACCGCATGTATGATGGGTAGTGGAAAAGCGGAGATAGAGAATTGGAGAAGGTAACTTGTGGTAATTTATTTTACTCTACACAATGCAAGCCGCATTTCTATTTCCGCGAAATGAGGCTCATAGGGTCTATGTCCCCCAGGGTACTGCCGGAACGTACGCCGGGGTACGGTCCGGTATACCGAACGCAGTGCCGAAATAAGCGTTTGTCGCGGTTGCCGAGCAACCCAGAATTGCGCCGACAACCTAACCCAAGTCTGAAGACCATGTCGCGGTGGACAAACCAAGGAACCCTATCGCTATCCTACAGCTGGGGGCACACGAGGCCGTATTTTATCGCCCGATCGCGGCGATTACAAAATCGCCAGCGAATTTATCGCCCGATCACGAAGGGGCAGCACTACGATATTGAGAGGGACCATGCTACATTTTTTGATACGGGCGATCTCGACGGCGATAAAAATCGGCGCGACGTGCGGCAACACGGAAATTTCGAGTCGATTTTAAAATTTGGCTCGCGACGGGGCGATAAAATCGATAGAACCAGGGGCCTAGTGTCAAGACTCGCTTCTGATGGTCTGATTGTTTGTAAATTGGCGATGTAATGTTAGGAACAGTTTGAACGAAGCGGTGTTATAAAAAAAACAATCTTTTAAGAATGAATAACGATTGAAGTGAATGTACCGGACCGTACCCAGGGTACGTTCCGGCAGTACCACGGGGAACATAGACCCTCTCAGCGGAAATGAGGCGTAGATGGAAAGTGGAGGTGCCAGGTGAGGTGGAGCACTGGAGTGCAAGGGCTGGGCAGGTGGTGCAGGGCTGGGTTAACATTATTGACTAATAACATTATGAGGATTCATTATTGACTACATAGTCTACACTACACGTATCATGACTTGAAAAAAATCAATCTAACATTTTTTGAAAGCATTTTTTAACGGTTGAGCAAGAACATTATAATCACGTGAGTCAACTGGCCCGCAAACGATAGCACAACGCGAACTGAAACAACAGCCTGCAGCATGGGCATCATTCCACTGCATCCACGGCTATTCAGGCATTTGAATGACTGTGTGCTGCGCTGCCGCGCTTATTGAGTAGGGCATCACTGGTATTCGTCAGTGTGGGTTGGGCCGGTCTGCCACCACTATAATGTATATTTGTTAGCACCAAAGCTGTAATTATTATACACAACTTCTTGCGAAACTCGACGTCGTTCATGGGATCGTGGAGAGCATGAGGCATTCAGGAGGCCGCATATGGCAATACAAGGGGCTTGCGTTACCTATGTAGACATGCCGGTATACATAGCGTTTCTCAGTGACATCACATGCAATCGTGTAACTTGCTGAACGCTGCGAATAATAATGTAATTCATATCTATCAAGTGCGTAAATAAATAAATATATAATATATATATATATATATCTATCATATATTAAATACTCACATCTGATATTAAGAGTCAGATAATAAACATGATGTGTTATTAGTCTACTCTGGATAATCTATCACATAGCCCATCTATCTATCTACTATCTATCTTCATCTATCTAGATCTATCTATCTATCTATAGTATCAGTATATATAGTAGTATAATAATCAGTATATCATGATATATAGTATAGTATACAGGCTTGATAGCAAACTGCATTTGGAGAAATGAGAAGAAAACGACAAAAACATTATTGTGGGCACTCGATCATTTACATTATTTTAGCTTTGTTAGAAATGTGTCTGATGTATGTCACATGATTTATGCATGGGTAATGATAGGCTTATTCAATAAAACAAGAATTACTGCTACATGTAGCCGAGGTATGTGTCCACATACTCAACATTGGTGGTGCGGTTTACTCATTTTTTGAAAAACATGGCCATAAGGCGAGTTGTTGCAAATAAGCTCTTCATATTATAGTACATATATATTAGTATATATATATATATAGAGTCGATAGATAGGTAAATATCTTTAACTATTGTGCGAACTGTGTCCAGCTGAAATGCGCATATCATACATGTACAATAATCGTGTAACAATAACATCTATCTTTCACAGTGCTCATGTATATTTGTTTTTTATTGCTTTTCTGTTCATGACTGCTTCCTTGTTTATTCATTTGTTTCCTTGTTCCGTTGTTTCTTTGTTAATGTTCCTTGGCAGCTTTCATGGCTGCTCATATATATTCCTGACTGCTTCCTAGCCTTCCTTGTTTAATGTTTATACAATGAATTCCCGGCTGCTATATTTTGTTTACGAGCAATGGTAAACTCCTTACTGTATGCTTAATTGTCTGTTTCCACAATGATGAAATCCTGACTATTACCCCGTTGATAAGAAAGTATAAATTCTTAGCTGCTTATAGCTGTTTCCTGTTTGTACAATGACGAATTCCCTACTGCTATATCCCCTGCTAATTCACAATGAAACATTCCCGACTGTTACTCCGTTTATGATTGCTGCTAACATGTTTGTAATTATATTCTAAGTTAAAAACGTAAAAATGTGAAAGTACTCTGCATGTATATTTTAATGAAAAAGCATTGCATTTATTACTGAATACTATTACAAACTAATACTAGTACAGAGAACACTCAAAAGAGCACGCTTATGTCTCTCGTAGATATTTTTTAACAAGCACTAATTACACAATTTTATTGTTTCGTTTTGTTATATATTTCTCAGTGCTTCCACGAAGTTTCATAACCGTAAATAGTGAAGTAATTTGAGGGCATATGCATATCAATTGCAACCCCCTAGCTGGGACCCCTCAACTCCATCGGTAGTTATGTCATTACATAGATAGGCCTATATAAAACAAATGTGTTTGTATATATATATATTCAATATTTGGCGTGCGTGCGTTATATGCGTTGTATTGTATTGTGTCGTGTCGTGTCGGGTTGGATTGCGCTGCGTTATGGTATATTATGTTATGTCGCTATGTCATGTTATGTTATATTCTTATACATGTTTGTCTGTGCCCCTAGAAGAAATATAGCGCCAAGGTAGTGCATCTATATGTAGATAACTATCGGTATAGATATGCAGTTATAATGCCTCATTCACTCGGTAGCACCAGGGCTCTAGACACCAGACCAACCTCAATAGGCGTGCAGAGGCTGGTTCCCCGCTAGAGTGTACTACAGCCTGGGTGGTTCTTTTATGTCCTCATTAGAAACTAGAAAAAGGTCCGTCATTTTACGTGGTCATGCTGGCCACGAGTGATTTATAGTCCTGGATGCTGAAATACATGTATATAGTAGATATTTATGATTATGTAGATCTCCTATTTCTCTCATTCTAATATTAACTTTAATTAAAGCCCCCCCACCACCACCACCACCACCACTACCGCGCTTCCTCATTCCGGTGTTTGTACTCACCGGTTCTATAAGTGCATCCCGTGCCATTGTACTGATTCCCTGTCTCTATTCTATAACAACAATATAATACATCCTTGTAAAGTGTGGTTTGCAGATGTTAAAAATTATAGTAGTTGGGTGATTAGAAATGTTGCGACGGTGGTTGCATAATGGGTTAGTCGGCGGCAGCGCGTTTGATGTAGTATGGATGATGGAGACGAGAAACGGTTGAAAGTCAGTCGTTGTGCATGTGTGCAGCGGGTTTGGTTGTCCGCGCGCGCGATTGATTTCTTTGTTAGCTAGAAACGTATAAATGGAAGGTTCATGGTCGAAAGGGGACGGACGAGAGTGTGCGGGTCACGCGGATGCGTGCCAGCAGATGCGTGCGGAGAAACAATAATACTATTTGCTAAACACAACTGCGTGGACTTTGGAGTTTTCCTTCTTCATCTCTACAACAAATCCATTTTGAAAAGGGTAACAATATAACACCGCTTCGTTACATCCTTATTATAACCTCAAGGTGTTTTGCAACAGTGGAGGGCATACCTATGCAGCAGACGTGAATAAACATCACACGGAAGTTATAAACATTTATAACTAAAAAGTTAAGTTTAAATACTCAGAGAATTTGGGCGCATACACTGCATACACTTCATTCATGCTAGATAACCACAGATTCAAGGTCCAGACTCAACTCGAAACCTTTTCCAGCTAAATGGTGTATTTCAAGCATGTGGTGAGATACCGTTTCACACACAAATCGGTGGACCGGTCACCACGGCTACGTCACATAACATAAAGGCACAATTACACGACTTACTTTTCATGCATTATAGACGTCCACAGGACATCTACCGTACGTATAAAATGCAGATTAATGCACTCTAGTATGAAATAATACCACAGAAAAATTCCTTTTCTAGAGACAAAGTAGTGCAATTGCCTTAGTAGTGCAAGTGGTGAACAATTAGCAGATGACTACTGTTGCGTGCCTATTAACAAAGTGTAGAGACATGATACCAGTCTATGATCTATTATATGTGCTGCGCGCGAATGATTCTGTGCCGGGAGGTTGTGTTAACATTAGCCTAGCTGAGACCACTAGATCATTACCGCGGTCGCACGCATGGCTATGCACATTTACGAACTACCATAAGCAGTGAACCGCAAGTTTCACTCCTACAAACCTACCCACACAGTGAATGTAAACACGTCGATGCTAGACACTATGTAGTAAATTACCTTAGGCACACCAAGGTGCCCACGACAGAAGTGGAAAATCGACAAGGAAAAACAATAAGTATTTAGCCCGTTGAAATGTAATATTATTTTTGTCCCTTGCCATGCACGCCATGCGTGACAGTGAAAAAACTATGAAAACAATTTCTTTTACATCTGCTAATGTGTACGTGTGTGTGTGTGCGCGCGCGCGCGCGTGTGTGTGTGTGCGTGCGCACGAGCGTGTGTGCGCATGTGCGTGTGTGTGTGCGCGCGCGTGCGTGCGTGCGTGCGTGCGTGCGTGCGTGCGTGTTGTGGAGTTGTGTTATTGCTGTGTTAAATGTTTCCGTTCTCTTTCTCTTTCAGTGTCGTTGAACATTCTAGAACATATTTATGATGTGACAGAACGAGTCATTCGTTATGTTCAATGACGTCACTGAAGAACGATGTCTACATTCGAGTGCCCTATCGTCGAGTGCGACTTCATCACCCAATACGTTAGTGATGCCCTGACAATCGTCATGCTGCAGATCCATGCAGGCGCCGTGCATCGACCCGCCCAAGCCCCGATCACGCGCTCAAGGGCCCCTTGCATGGAGCGCCCGCGTATTGACAGCGGTGTTGAACCGGTTACATGGAACAACTTTCTGCGAAGTTGGGAACTCTTTCGCGTCGGATCAGACATAGACGACAACGCAGCGCCTCTGCAACTGTTGGAATGCGCGTCGGATCTACTCGGCGACATGGTGCTAAAGGCAGACCCCGCGATCGTCAGCCACAGTCTTACCGAGGTCCTCGCCACTGTTCGTCTCTTCGCGGCCGTCCCTGTCGCCATCAGCGTCATGAGAGCTGAACTGCACTGAAAGGCACCTGGCGAACAGTTCCGGGCCTTCGCCGCTTGTGTTCAAGGCAAGGCGGAGACTTGCTCCTTTACCACTGATTATACGTGCACCTGCGGCACGGCCGCTGCCGCGGACTACACCGTCGAGATGATGAGGAACGTGCTGCTTGCCGGCATCGCCGACACCGACATCCGCCGAGAAGCTCTTGGGACTGCTGATGTGCATCGCCTCGCCATAAACTCGGTCATCGCCCTCGTTGAGTCCAAAGAGATGGCACGCGATGCCCTGCCGTCCACGTCACAGTCAGCTGTATCTTCGTTCAAGCGCCCCGGTTCGTCGACTCCCCATATCCAGGAAGTGTTGCCACGAGCACCTGCAGAGAGCTCACAAAGGCGAGAGTGCGGATGGATAGAACACAGTGCCACACAAAGTATGCAAGCCATGCTACTTTCAGCAAGGTTGCGCCAAGAGAAATGATGGCAGACGCCAGCCGTCGTCGCCTCCCGTCCCAAAGCCTTCAAAGGCCAATGTGATCAAAGTGGATGCCAATGACGGTATTATCATCGCATCTGTCACGGCGCCGCCTCCTGTGCGCAATCACCGTCATCGCCGTGGCCGTCGCCCCCGTCAAGGCCACATAGTTACCCTGGAGCACCACATCTTCCGTGCTGGGGAATGGCGCCAGGCTAAGCTTCTCGACCACCCACGCGTCCTTATCGACGTCAGCATCGTCGGCGTCAGTCAGAGCCAGGCTCCCGGCCGCTCCCACTCCACGAAAGTTCACGCCGTCACCGACAGCGGCGCCCAGTCAAACATTTGGTTGCTCAAGGACTTCGACACGGCAGGATTTCCACGGTCAGCGTTGTCTCCAGTGACGCTGAGCCTGAAAGCGGCCAATTCGTCAGGGATCAGAGTACACGGCGCCTTCTTTGCCAGAATGGACGGTACAGCGCCGGACGGCAGCGCCATATCCTGCCAAACCATGGTGTACGTCAGTGACCAAGTTGATGGTCTATTCCTTTTGTTTGACACGATGGTTGACCTTCTCGTCGTCGGGAAAGACTTCCCATGCATCGGTAGCGCCAAGATGGCCACCGCATCGCCAGGCTGCGTGTCCAGGCCGTCCTCGCGAGGAAACGTATCGCCCGATGCTCCCAGGTTATCAGCGGCTTCACGACGCGCAATGAACGCTGGATGCAGCACTGACTCATCCAGCCACCAGTGTGACTGCCCGCAGCGCGAGGCAGTCCCGTCGCTTCCTGACCACTTACCCTACCAACGGCTACCACAGCATCCCCTTGCGTGAGTCGGACCGCCATCTTACAACCTTCATAACTCCGTTCGGCCGGTGGCGCTACACTCGCGCACCACAAGGGTTTCTCTCATCTGGCGATGGTTACAACCGCCGGTTTGATGCTATCATCTCCGACTTTGAGCGTAAAGAAGGGTGCGTCGACGACACTGTCCACTACGACGAGGACCCTGGACAGCACTGGTGGCGCACAATGAAGTTTTTGTCAACAGTGGGCAATGCTGGCATTGTCCTCAACCCTGGCAAGTTCCAGTTTGCTAAAAGGACAGTGGACTTCACAGGCTTTTGCATCTCCGAGTCATCCATCAAACCGCTCCCCAAGTACATCGACGCTATCAGGCATTTCCCGAAACCATCGTCCACGACTGACATCAGGAGCTGGTTCGGCCTTGTAAATTAGATAGCCAACTACGCCCAACTACGCGACGTCATAGCACCGTTCCACCCCTATCTCAGTCCCAAGCAGAAGTTTGTCTGGACTCCTGAACTTGACGAGGCGTTCGAGGCCTCCAAGATCAGCATCATAGAAGCCATCAAGCGCGGCGTGGAGATCTTCGACGTCACCAAGAGGACGTGCCTCAGACCAGACTTCTCCAATCGTGGCATCGGCTTCTTCCTGCTACAGCAGCGCTGCGACTGCACGAGCGGTTTGCTTGGATGCTGCCCTGACGGCTGGAAGATTACTTTGGCAGGCTCCCGCTTCCTCTCTTCTGCGGAGCAGCGCTACGCGCCGGTGGAAGGCGAAGCCCTTGCAGTCGCCTGGGGCCTTGAGCAAACCCGTTTCTTCATGCAGGGCTGCAATGACCTCGTGGTAGTGACCGACCACAAGCCGCTGGTGATGATACTCGGCGATCGCACCCTCGACGAGATTCACAACACGCGCCTCTTTTGACTGAAGCAAAGAACTCTGCCATGGTACTTCAAGATCGAACACTTACCTGGGAAGACCAACCTTGCTGCCGATGCAGCATCGCGTCATCCTTCGCCGGTCACCCAATGAACGCCTGGTGGGACGAGTGTGGAGACATCGACTTCACCGGGCTAGCTGCATACTTAGGTGGCCTCATAATCGAAGATAGCACCGAGCAGGCAACTCTCGTGGCCTTCCACCATGAACCACAGGACGTGACATTGCTGTCATGGGAAGCCATTGCCGCTGCCACCGAGAGTGACGCCTCCATGAAGTCCCTCGTCGACACAATCGTCACCGGATTTCCCATCAAGCACAATTAAGGACCTCCCACACGTCGCACAATTCTGGCGCTACCATGAGTCCCTCTACTTCTCGCATGGCATGGTGATGTTTGATGATTGCGTCGTCGTTTCGCCAGCACTTCGCCGCCATGTCCTCGACAACCATCATGCTGCACACCAAGGCCAGTCATCGATGGAGCGTGCGCCAGGGCGATTGTCTTCTGGCCAGGGATAACGCTCGACATCGGTAACGCTAAGGCAAACTGCGACGACTGCAACAGAAACGCCCCATCGCAAGCAAGTCTCCCGTCGACGCCGGCACACCCGCCTACAGTTCCTTTCGAAGCTGTGGTGGCGGACTACTTCAATTTCGCCGGTCGTCACTATCTCGTCATTGCCGACCGCCTCTCGGGATGGGTCGAGATCTTTGCCACTCCATCCGGCTCGAAGCAAGCCAGTGCCCAAGGGCTGGTGGACCGCCTCAGGAACTTCATGGCCATCTTCGGCGTTCCGGAAGAGCTGTCAACTGATGGAGGACCAGAGTTTGCTGCCTCGACCACTGGAGACTTCCTACGAGGTTGGGGTATTAAGCACCGGATATCATCCGCCTACTACCCGCAGTCGAATGGCAGGGCGGAAGTAGCCGCCAAGTCGGCCAAGCGTCTTCTCAAATCAAACACTAATTTGGCGGGCCTCTTGGACAGCGACCGCTTCCTCCGAGCCATTTTGCAGCTCAGGAACACACCCGACCTGGACTGTGGCAAGTCACCAGCAAAGATCGTGTTTGGGAGACCCCTTCGCAACACCCTGTTGTTTGCAAAGCGTCTCCAGAAGTTTGGCGACACCGTCCACCTTGCGTCAGATGTCCATCCGTCGTGGCGGGAAGCCTGGGCGGCCAAGGAAACTGCCCTACGTGACCGATTTGTTCGTCAGTCCGACGCATTAAACGCCCGGTCCTGGAATCTCCCACTGCTCTAGGTTGGAGACCGGGTGTTCGTTCAAAATCAGATAGGGAATTCACCGAAGTGATGGGACAAAACGGGCGTTGTCGTTGAGAAGGGCGACCACGACCAGTACGTCATCAAAGTCGCCGGATCAGGCCGCCTCACCACCCGCAGCAGGAAGTTCCTACGTCGTTTCCGCCCCGTCATGGAGACAGGCAAGGATCAAGACTTCCAGGATGCTACACTGCCACCCACTGATCACAACCCGCCTCTCATCCCTCTTCTGACAGTGCCATAGTCGCTGCCAGTACCACGGCGACCAGAGCACAACGACCTGAGCATGGCGAACCGCCTCCAGCACCCCGTCGGCCAGAGCACGGCGAACCGCCTCCAGCGCTGAGTAGACAAGAGCAGGACGCGCCTCCTGACGTCGCTGACCCGATTCCGACACATCAACCTCAGACATTTCGTCGAATAGAGCGCAGCACCCCTGCCGAAGGTCGCCGATCCACCTCCAGCTACCCGTCAATCGCAGCGGAACGCTAGAGCGCCAAGAGAATATGTTCCAGAGACTGGACAGTAGACATGAGTTTGCAGCTTATAAGCTACAAACTAGGGGGGGATGTGGAGTTGTGATATTGTTGTGTTACATGTTTCCGTTCTCTTTTTCTTTCAGTGTCGTTGAACATTCTAGAACATATTTATTATGTGACACAGAACGAGTCATTCTTTACATGTGTGTGTGCGTGTGTGTGTGTGTGTGTGTGTGTGTGTGTGTGTGTGTGTGTGTGTGTGATGTGTGTGCTTGTGTGTACAGCATATAGGCCTATATTTATGCATTTACGCATGACCTTTAGATGTACCAATAACTGTAATGTGCAATAAAACGGATAACTGGATCATTTTAGATTACGCTAGCTATGTCAACTTGTGCTATATATTATAATATATCTTACGGACATGCAAGTCCGTGCTATACCGGCATGCCAACTCATACGTGGATTGGACTGGTTACTTTAGTCATAGATATAGAATACAGATTACATCTGTATTCTATATCTAGGCTTTAGTTGTCTCTCCATTTTGGAATAGGTAATAAAAATACTAGTTAGTATTCTATTACGAATTGAAGTATAACAATATTTACTCGTAGCGATTTAGGATTAGTTGCTCGCGAACGTCGTTTGTGTACGTTTGGATCGTATTTATTTGGCAATACTGTCCTAATACCTACATTGCTGAACCTTTTCCCAGTACTTCACAATCGAACATTCTTCTCGTACCACTCATGTGTCCCCTCGGTCTGAAATGTCATAAATAGTTATGACACCGTAAGTCTAAAATGTTATAATTTTGGAGTAGTGTCGTGCAAAGATTATGACATTTTAGGTTAATGATATAGTCATAATAATACAGTATAAATAGATAATGGTTCATGGTGTTTCTATCAACAACTATCAGGTAGTCGGGTTAGATATTGCTGCGTTTGTGTCCAGAAGACGACATTATACCAACGTTGCTCTGAGTGAGCTGATGGCAGTGATGCAGCAATTTCAGTTACTGTGTACAGCTGCAGGGCCGGACCGGGAAATATAGCGCGAAATATAGCCCCCCAGTCAGGCCACTTTTTAAGCGGGGGACTGGGGGTCCCGGGACTCCCCCACCAGGAAAATTAATTAAATGTAACATTATTTTTTTGGGGGCAGGCCACTTAGCAGGCCAGGCCAACGGGAAAACTCCCGGTGCTCCCGATCGCCAGTCAGGCCCTGCATGGTGTACAGACTACAATACTTGCGTTGTATAACTTAATATGTGCAGATAACGATTGTAACATATCTCGCGCAACATTTTCAGTTAGCGATCATTGGAACAAGAAGTGTGCAATAGAATGGCGTCTTCTGCTACAGAGAAATACTATGAGTATATTGTGGTTGGCTGTGGTGGCATTGGAAGTGCAACTCTATACTGGCTGTCTACTCGTAAAGGGGTTGGTGAGTTTAAAATTTTTTATTTATTTAAAAATTTCACCCCCAGCAGATTACCAGGTAAACTGTCAGAGCCGATTTATTAATATAGCCTAGTAGGCAAATGGGGTTCCCATGTAAGAATGTAAGAGCCCCTCACAGTTCGGAAGGGATGATTTATAATAGAGAATTATAATGAAATTATAATAAAGATTAAATTGGTTACAACCCAAAAACGTCACTTGTTTGTGAGTAAAATAACAACGCATGAAATGAAATATAAGAACTAAAAACAAAACTTGAATAAAAATAGCGCATTTTATTCTTGATAATTATTTATAGTGTGTATTCATTATTTTCAGATGTTTTAGGGCTAGAACAATTTAAACTAGGTCATGATAATGGTGGATCACAAGATTACTCTCGTATAATGTGAGCATTTATAAAATGTCTATATACGTACATGACTACTATTTACTTAATCATCAATTTCACTGCTGGTTTCTAAAAGTACATCACAAGTGTAAGGGGACTTTCATTTGAACGATTAGAGGTAAATAGTCAGCATTGTCAGCAGTTTGATTTATGGCTAAAGCACGTGTATACAGGTAAAGTAATTGATACAATTACTTGCTGAATCGTGCATACTTGTCCTTATAGTCGAATGATGTACCATGACACCAAGTATACGAAACTTGTGAAGGAAGCTTATAAATGGTATGTTAGAAATCATCGAATTCACGTAGTTAATTATTGCTAACGATAGTAAAATAATACTGCATGAATAGAATCATACAAGTGATTATCAAAGACAGGGCACGAAGGTACACAGACCTTTTTTCGAAGTGAAATTTGACTGTTTAAAATTTAAAGTGAAAATTAATGTGAAAATTGAAGTGAAATTTGTTGTTTAAGTGCATTTAACAAATACCATCCACAGCAAAGTGGTTATCTAACTGACGTGGCGAGTTAAACATTGTTTGTTCGCCTGAAGCTGGGAGGAGGTGGAGGCCGAATCTGGCCTGCAGATCCTTTATAAGACCGGCGGTGTGCAGTTTGCCGTGAAGGGCACGCCTGGAGAATCTGGTCTCGAGAAGTATGCAGCTGCCGCAAAGGCAGAACATATTGCGTAAGTCTCCAAATATAATCGCCGTTCTCACTGAGCGAGGTGCTATGTGTGCGGCGAGTAACACCGTTTATTATATGCCCCTGTCCGCGCACAACGCGGTGAAACACGCAATGGTTCATAATGTGCTCGTGCGTGCGTGCGTGCGCAAAAATTGCAGCCCCCTTATAGCGTAGACAATCGTGCATTGATATATAGCGGTTGTGTAACGTATTGCGGTAACGAGACGTCGGCTTTTATCATCTCGATATGCCGTCGACAGTTTGTGTCCTAAAAACTTCTGCTTCTATCCATAGAGTGTGTGAGTGGTTATAGCTTCATTAGGAATCCTGCAGGTTTGAGAGGGTCTCTGGACAGCAGATAACAGCACGATTTCCTGGCTTTGCGATGGGTTCGGACGTGGTGGGCTTATACGAGCCGACAGCTGGCCTCGTGGATGCTGCCGTCGGCAATGCCACCCACATACAGCTAGCGCAGGCACACGGGGCAACGGTGATTGATTCCTGCCCCGTGCTGAAGATCGACACGCTGCCTTCTGGCGAGGCAAAGGTGCGGCTATACCTGAATAACCAATTCATACAACGTGAGGAAATGTGGTCGCATAACAACAATATAATAGTATAGAGCGCTATGCGCTTTGTTGCCGTGAAAATTAATTGCAAATTTTAAATCTTGCTGTGCCTAAGCGTTTGTAGTAGGCTACATTTGGAGTTAGATTACGATGTTAAACAGTTGCTCGCAAGGTGAGTTAAACCAATAATAATATTTGCAAATCTCAGGGGATCTAGAGGTCAATACAGTTTGAGGCATACTTTAGTATTAAATTTATAAATTACAAATGTAGAGATGGCTACATAATTTGTCAGTGCCGCTTCTACTTCACAGAGAAACGAGACAGTTTATAACCTACTTACTCTTGTAACAGGTGTTCACCACCAGGGGGCAGTTCCGTTGCAGACGAGTTATCATTACTGCTGGTGCATGGATCAACAACGTTCTTGGCACTGTTGGCATTCACATTCCCGTCTCTGTGACCCAGGAGCAAGTCACCTACTTTGCTACGCCCAATATGAAACTGTACACAAAGAGCCAGTTAGTAGTTCAGTCTTCTTTCTGATTGCTGAGCACCGCCATGGTAGATGGTGCATGTAGACATTTTCTCGTTGACCTTGGCCTGTGCTTTTCTCACTTGAAAGTTATGCATTTAGAGGTGCATATATTTTTAGATCACTTTTAACTTTAATTGTTCTTGCCAATCTTGGATCCGAGTAAAGATAATAGCGAATAGATTTACTTAGCGGTCACGCTGTATGTATGGCGAATTTATGCAGGAAGAATTTCACTGCCGGGCAATTAATTACTTACAGTCGTAACAATGAACAATCGGTGCAAAACTACCGAATGCAGGTTTCCTATATTCATATATATCGGCGAGAAAGACGTGTACGGCATACCGATTCACGGCAACACTGGCATGAAGGTAGGTCTCGATGCTGATGGACCAACAGTCAGCGCAGAAACCAGATCCTTTACTCCCGACTCGAAACGTGAGCAGACGTGTCTGGACTTCGTGCGCAGATTCATGCCGAAGGTAGGCTGTATACTCATTACAGCTTGTGCTTGAAGAAATACACTGCTAGCTGTCCCTTGTGTGAAAATGTTTGGATGAGTGGTTTGCTTCAATTTACTGTCGTTGTGCATCATTACAAAAGGCAGTACCAAGCAGGTTTAATTAGTTTATATTGTTCACGTGTGACTTGGAAACGAAGAAGAAAATTACGGTTTATAAGCGACTTCCTAATCCTCACAATGATTGCATCTGGTTGACATATATAGGCAGAGGGTCCCATGCTATATAGCAAGACATGTCTGTACACCATGACGCGTGACAGACACTTTGTGGTTGACACCCTAGCAAGAGAGGGGAGGCATCAAATAGTAGTGTGTTGTGGAGCTGGGCACGCTTATAAGTAAGTTGTTCTCCATCTCGTAGCACAGTTGGAGCTTCTGGCATCGAATTCACAGAAATTTCGTTACACGTGTAACTTAACTTTAGCAAGTTAAACCCCTCATCACAGTTGTACAATGTTGTATATGATTTAAGGTAATACCCATTCTAGTCTAAATAATTTATGTGTTCCAGGTTTGCATCTATACTTGGCAAAATTCTGAGCGAGTTGGCAATAGATGGCAGCACCAACTATGACATATCCGGATTCGGTCTGCGCAGACGTGCGATAACGGATCCAACATTTAAAGCTCAGCATCACATGGCAGTAGAAGAGCAAAAATCGAAATTGTAAGGCGACTAAGTTGGAATCTAGAAAATTCCACATTAATATATGGGATCCACTGAAGATA